TCACTTAGTTCAATTCTCCCTCCTTTGTAGAATAGGATAGTATAGATGTTGTGGATTGACCAAAAAAATAAAAAATGTAGTCTAGCAGTTCTTTTGTGCCCTTGGTCTCTCATTTGAGATGCTGGGTTTTGCAGTCATATGGCAGTGTTTCTTCCTCTTGGCATTGATAGGATTAAAATCAAATTTGGTGTATAACTAATGTTTTGGTGTTTATAGCTTTGTTGTTAGCTGTTGCATCTTCTTTTGGTATGGTTCATAAGTTTTTTTCAGTCTGAATTATTTTCTAAGATAATTAAAGGTCTAATTTGATTTATGTGCTTTTATCATGAAATAAGGATATTAGGAGCTCCAAATGGCTGGGAATTGAACATTTGGAACTATATGCGCTATATTGCAAATTGAGGAAACAAGAATATTCACAATCTGCAAAGAAAAAGGTATGGGCTGAAATTTGTATAATTAATGAGTTAACTAATTTCTGATTTTGATTTTTCTATTCATATATTTCAAATTTCTGAGCACAACATGGATTCTACCTGCATCTCATAGAATTTTAAGCGGAAAGTTTTCGTTTGGTGAAAGCATGATGTACGTTGAGAATTACGAGTGCATTACTTTACTTAGAAAAAGATGGACTTTTGGGTCTGAATACGTTACAATTGGAAAATGTATAGGCAAGTTGAATCCTTTTGGAGGTAGCATGCTTCATCCTGATTTGTTTTTGTATTACTAGAAAAAATAAAAATAAAGTTTCATGCTTGCAAGAAGTTATCCTGTTCCACCTAAAGATAATCCAATCAGCATCGAACATTGTAGACAAACAACGTGGGATATAATGCTTAAGCTCTTGAACAAAGATCTCTTGGAAGGAGTTCCCAGTTGTTCAGTCTCTTGATTTACATGGCATGTTTGGGATAATATTATTAGTCAAATTCGACAAAAAAAAAAAAAGAAGGTTGTTTTGTTGGAAGTTTTGATATGGACTTCTATTTGAAATATTTCTGCTTTGTTCAAAATTTTTTTTTTGATAAGCGAATCCGCAACTGCTATCAAGTGCGCACTAGATAAATCCTGCCTCATGCAATAACTCACTAACTATACGGAGGGTAAGACGCACTAGTTTTCATGTTACTCTCTGCTATGCTTTCTTTCTTTCTTTCTTGTCTGAAATTCACGTTGTCTCTCTTTTACAAGTTTGGAATAAATTAAGTAAACTCCATAGTCTAATTGTGAACAGGACCTTAACATTTCTCGATTGCTGTTTTCAAGGATCACTGCTAGACTACTTGTATAGCTTAAAAGTTTTTGTTGATGACTGCTACATTTTAGAACTTGCTTGACACCTTAAATATGTAAAACTAGTTGATTATAGTGGTTAGTTGTTACAAAACTCCCTCCAATGGTGAATTTTACTATTATGTTAAAAGTTCCGTTTGGGATACAAAGATGTTTGGCATCAATGTCGGAGCCAAGGGAACTGAGGGGGCTCCTAAGTTTTAAAAATTTTAATTCATAGTATGTAAATATATATATATAAAACAAAGTTGTCCCCCCAATTTTTTATAATTTTAATTTATATTATGAAAGTTTATATATATATATATATATATTAGCCACCTTTGAATTAAATTTTTTTCTCAGAAAAAGTTATTCATTTTTTATTATGCTAATTATTTAACTTTCAAAAATTAAACATATAACGGATGATCCATAGTAAATTGACCCAATTCATAATTATTAATGAGATAAAATAAAAATAATTATTTATTGGCCCACAGACAAATATACAGTTTAGCCCAATTGATTAGACTTGTTCTCACTCTTTCTGTATCAATTGCAATTAAAGAATGGGCATTTTCAATTATGAAGATAATTAAGACGAAGCTCCAAAACAAGTTGGAAGATAATTTCTTAAATGATTGCTTTAACTGTGTACATAGAAAGGGAAGTTGTTAGAAAATTTAGCATTGATTCAATCATAGATGAATTTAGTTCTATAAAAGAACATAAACCTCAATTTACTTTTAAGAAAAGAGATTGAAATTTCAAGATATGTTAATATAACTTTTATCTTTTTAAAATTGAAAATGGTTATATTTATATTGCATAGTTATATTTTTTTCTTCATAGATGACATATTGGAGCATCTTCTCATGATGTGCAACTTGAGTGGTCTATGATGTTATAAGATATTTAATCAAAGATTATTTCTTGTCTTAATTTTCATTATACTATGCTACATATTTATGAAATAGACATACCTTTATAATTAAAGTTAATATTTGATATTTTTAGATATCATATATTTAAATAGATGGAAATTATCTTGAACATAACATATTAAGATAGTTTTGTTAGGAAAAATTTTGCGCCCCCCCTCCCCCAACCAAAAGGAAAAAATCCCGGCTTCATCACTGTTTGGTATTGTTGGGGGTCTTCCTCAACGCGCTGACATATTTTTGTTGAGAAAATCCATACTTTTGAAGTTAAGATCTAGTACATAGTCCTTTAATTTTTTTTCTTGATTTTATCTCATAAATTGTGAAGCCTTGATTTGTGCGTGTGTTTATAGAGTACAGAGATGCAACAATAATATTGGTTTAGGCAGGGACGGAGCCAGAAATTTATTTTTGGGGGGGCTGAAGTGTATTAAAAAAATTTTTTTGTGACGAAATAAATATATTTAATAAGTAAAATTTAGAATCAATAATTATAAAAATAATAAAAACATATAATTATACATACCCAAAAATTTGTTATTGATTAACACTTGAAGTATTGGTAGTTGTTGCACTCGAATAACGAAGAGGAGGCAATTGCATTCTGCGAGTCTTCATCCGTTGAAAACGCTGCAATATTTGCTCATTTTCAATTGTTGCAAAAATATCCTTCTCGATGTATACAACCAGACAGTCATTCAACTTGCGTGTTGTATTACAATGGATCAAGAAAAGTACTACTCATTCAACCGTCGCCACAAACAATTGCTTGTTCATTTGTTCCTTCAGATTTTATTTTTAGCACGTTACCATCAAGTCCAAGAATTCAACTAGAAAATATTTGGGCCTGCAAGTGAAGCTGGTGGATCAATAATAATATGTATATTGCACAAACCCAATGGAAAAGCTACAAGAAGCAAAGTCAAAAGTTGCTACGAAGCTAAGACCCATCATGCCCAAATTGATTCCTGCTGCTTCTGCTAAGATCCGGGTCGTGCCCCGTGACATAAGTTTTTGCGTTAGAAGATCGTAACAGAGAAGGATATCTTTTTTGTCTCGTTCACAAGGCGAAATGGTTAAAAATCTAGGAGTGTGCAGCAAAAGATTCTTCTGACGGGTTTGCGCAACATATAGAGCCTATCCAATCCAAAACCATCCGCTGATTTTTGAAGGAGGTTTACAGAGAGCAAAGCTGGCCTGGGGCTCCATTCTAAATTAATGGGGCCCGGCGGCCTTCAATGCTGTAACTAATTGTTTAGAGTTCAATGTTGATGGTCCAGAGGTACAGCGCTCTCTCTGGGACTGGGACTGGGACTGGGACTGGGAGATCGAGGGTTACCAATCCAGAGGCTTCTTCAAAATGAAACTGGACTTCCTCTGTGTCATCTGTGATTCTTTTGGGTCTGACTGATGAATAGGCTCCAAAAGTACCACATCCCCGTGCTTTGACGCATATGTTCTTTCCATAACCCACTTCTTTGACCGCTCCACCTGAATTGAACATCCTGATGAGGCCTATAGGAGCGAATCGAGAACCATTTGATGTTTCCTTGACAGGAACAACCGTGAAAACCTCGTACTCCCGTGCCATCAGTGTAATTGGCAGAGCAGCATTGCTTGGAAGGTAGACTAGATGTAGGGGTTTTTCCGGCGGCTTGGGGGGGGCTTAAGCCCCCACCAGCCTCCCCTTAAATCCGTGGCTGGGTTTAGGATTAAGAATGTATGTAGCTTAGTTTTGATATATGATAATACTTCTTAGCTTTAGTTGTTGATTTTTAACTGTCACTCTTTCACTTTCAGACAAAATATGGATGTTCTTTGTTAGTTTAAGGTTAATTCAGAAACTATGGCTATCATGTTGAACTATGTTACTCTTTCGCTTCCAGACAGATAATGAATCTGCAGTTATCAAGTTGAGGCCATCGGGAGATCAACTGGTGACTTTTCTCTGTGTTCTTCATATTGGCATGCTGGAAGATGGATTTTATAATTTTTTTTTTTTTTCATTTAGGGTATCCCAACTTTTCGGCTAAACTAATCCCCTATGACTGCGTAGAGTCTTGCTTCAAGGATACACAACCAGGTAGCACACGGAGTCAATCATGGGACCTGTTGGTAAATACCAAATTACGGAACCATTTGGACTACCCGTGGGGCTTGGATTTTATCGTATTTGGATTTCTGGATCTTTGTTGAATGTTTTACTCTAACAAAGAACAGACCGACAGCTTATCATGTGAGTCACGTCAGGGTACAAGAATTGGAACCTGAGATGAAGAAGGCATTGGTGTTGTGTGTTTTACCTCTACTTTTTGCACTTGGGAAATGTTCATTTTCCTTCTAAATTGCTTTTTACTCTTTGATGTTAATGCTGGAGAGAGAGCCTCAACATCTATTTCGATTTTAATGAATAAATTGACTGACTATTAGAGGCAGTCGGGATTTGGTTTGTCTATCTTCTTGGGGCTAATATTTTGACGTGCAGATCAAAGCACTATACTACTGTTTTATTTTCTTAGAAGCATGAGCATGTGCCATTGAGTTATTGGATTAAATGTTTGTTTTGCAAAAATTCTGCTTATTGTGTATGTCATCATCAATCAATCAATCAGTAGAATTGTGCCTCAACTTCTGAATGTTTATTGAATATTTGTTTGCATTAGCATTTGCTATTCCCAAAAAATGTAGGATGTGACAGCCCTACCTTCCATTAGGGCGTACCCCAAAGGTTAGCGGATTGTCTGCTTAACTCTCGTCAGGACTACTGAGCCAAAATTCACATTTACCACACTAAAATGCGCAATTTAATTTCGAATAATCAATCCATACTATATACAATAGAGTCTCTAATGATTCAACTTAAAGTACAAGTCAGAATATCCAAACTTATACAAATACATGTGAAGTTTACTAATACAGAGGAGTTTAAACAAAAACAAACTATAACTAGCTCAACTCTTTCCCCAAAATTCACGCTCCCAAAATTTCGCCCCCTATGAGGAAAACAAAGGTAACAGGATGAGCTTTCGCCCAATGAGACACCAAAAGGTCATGCAGTCAAGAATCACATAATTACAATTTTAATCGATCAAATATAAGCATCAAATAAAGATATAAGTAAACACCACAATTTAAGCAGAATAGTTCAAGTAAAAGGATACAGATAGCTCTAAAGGGCCAATTTTTCCGTTGCATTACTTGATCCAAACCCGTTGACCCTCCGTCAACGTTTAAAGAAGCAAAACCATGACCGTAGATCCCCACTTTACACCAATTTCCGTCCACCAAACATATCCCTTACCGGACTCGAACACCAAACAGGAATAGTGGTAGTAATACTAGATTATACCAAATATCAGAAATATTCAGTGAATCAGTAACAGTTTCCTCATGGTTCGTCATTCTACCTCGACCAATTCTTTATTGGTTCGATTCGATTGACTAAAAATGAGGTTTGAGCTCAAATTTCATAGTAAGGTCGTTAGATATTAGCCTCCAAACGACATCAACTCATGCACAAGTAACAGATCCAAATTGCATAGTTAACCAGTCAAATAGTCAAGGGAAACGTGTGTGATAAAGTATAGGGGAGTGCAAAATCGAAAAATTCCGATTTATCGACCGTCGAATTGAATTCGAAATTTCGAATTCGGTAATTCGGAATGGAAATCGGAATATCCGATTTCAAATTGGTCGAATTCAGTAATGAGATTTTTCAAATCAGAAATTCTGATTTCGAATTCCCAATTCGAAATCGAAATCGGAATCGGAATTCCTATTTCGATTTCAAATATGTTTTTCATATATATATAATATAATATTTATATTATAATAATAATTTTTATATTTAGTAATGAGATTTTTCAAATCAGAAATTCTGATTTCGAATTCCCAATTCGAAATCGAAATCGGAATCGAAATTCCTATTTCGATTTCAAATCTGTTTTTCATATATATATATAATATAATATTTATATTATAATAATAATTTTTATATTCATGAATTCGGTGAAATTGAAATTCTTATTTCGATTTCAAATTCGTTTTCACACATAGATATAATATTTTTATATATATGTAATATAATATTTATATAATAATAATAATAATTTTTATATTCATGAATTCGATGAAATCGGAATTTACCGAATTCGGAATTGAATTCGGAACGAATTCGAATTCGGAATTGGTGAATTCGAAATTGAATTTGGTCGAAAATTCTGATACCAAAATTCTGAAAAATTCCGATTTCAAAGTTCCGAACTACCGATTTCGATTTCGATTCACACCCCTAATAAAGTACACCCTCGTCCCATCCAGGATGAACTAAAGTCACAGTCATTCAAGTCATAAACTTCAAGCACAAGGAAATTGGTTAAGCAACAAGTCATGCGAGTGGTACACTCACCAGTTCAAGCAAAAATAACGTCAACAGTTTCCTTTCGGATTATATCCTTGATCACCGACAAACCCTAAGAACAACCAAGATAAAATATTACGGTTCAACCATCCAAAGTTTAGGTGAATCAAAGAAAATCCAAGTAACTACCAGTGCAAATATGCAAATATGATTTTGGAGTGAAAAGAAAACATTTGGACCTAAGAACATGAATAACCGAAGAGTCCTTCATTTCAATTCAAAGCTGGAATTTCCGACAACAAAATAGCTAAAAAGACAACCAACCTCGAGGTTAAAGTGAAACAAATGCAACTAGAAAGCATACTAGAAGGAACCATCACTTTTCGTCTTACTTTTCACATAATTTTATCAAAATTTCAGCTTATATGCTACCATCAAGGTGCACATAAGAAATCACATGTAACCTAAGTCCAAACCAACCCAAAATCGTCCCTCTTATCTCACTTATTTCACAAGAGAGGAAGTAGTATAAATTTCAGCAGCACTTCCCCTTGTTTTCTTTACTTTTCCATCCAAACTCAACACCAAATTTCATCTCAATTCAACCTCAATCACAACCATAAGTCATAAGCTATCTAATACACTTGATTAAGGCCACAAAACCATCCCCAAATGGCTAATTCATAGCTCAAATATCAACCACAATAAAGCTGAATTTTGGAAACCCTAAGCTGAAATTTCAACTACAAGCTGAAATTTTCCTTAACCAAGCCAAACTAACATATAAAAGCTAGATAAATCACATGACAAAACTATCAAATCATGACCTAGCTCAAGCATCATATAAGGGCTGAAGTTTCACCATAAAAGCTGGATTTTTCAAATCACTACTTCAAACCATGAATTTTCTCATGAAAACTACCAAAATTCAACTCTAAAACCACTAGTATGCAAGTATTAGAAGTGAAAAGGTTTCTTGCCATAGTTACCTTGAAATCCCAAGAAAAATGGAAACCAAGTGCTTCTTCCCCAAAAATCTCTCCACTAAAGCCTTTAATCTTCCTTAGATATCACCTTTTATGGAGTAGTTTGCAAGATTGTTGGTTAAAACTCAAGATTCAAGTAAGAAATTGAGGTTAAAGATGAAGTTTTCCTTTCCTTTTTTTCCCTCGAGAGAGTCGGCCAAGCTTGGAAGAAAATGGAAGGAATTTTGGTCAAATTTGGTTTTATTAAAGGATAATAAAGGTTGTAGTCAAAGTCACATCTCCAAGGGTTACGCGACACTTGGCTCACTAAGGTTAATCCTCATCTTTTTTTTTGTCTTCCAAAGGCTAAACTATCTAGATAACTTCTAATTATCCCTTAGCACCTTATAAAATAATATTCCTTTATGCAAAACTTCTCATTTTCTTATCACACTTACCGCATTAGAGGGTCCCACTTCCATAATGCATTTCGAACTTAACATGAACTAACTTATACAAGAAAAATGATTTAAAAACTTGTCTCACTTATAAAAATATCTAGGAAATTAAGGTAATAAAGTAAAGTAAAGAAGATGTATTCGAAGAAATAAAATAAAATAATATAAAATAAGAAAATTTTTCGGATCCTCACAAAAGGCATGTTGATCTTAGATTTACATAGATTTGCTTATATTAGACTAGCACATTCTACTTGAATGTAAGGGAGTAATACTCCTTTATTGCTTTTGACATGTTCTAGAGGTTAGGTTAATGCCCTCTCTACTTTTTATTTGTTTTTGTATTATTAATGAAATTTGGGACTGACATCTCCGTCCTGTGTATAGGGTTTGAAACAAAAATGATAATTGACTTCTCCTTTAATTTTTCAGAACCTAAGAGTCATAGCGAAGCAAATGGGAAAGGCCAAAGTTACACATTAAACTGGTTAAATAGCACAAGGTGCTTACTCTCTTTCCCTTAAATATCACAAATCACTCATTAAACAAGATATAATTCAATTATGTTTACTATTTAATGGTGCAATGGCAAAAGGAAAAGGAACATCATCAAAAGACAATTCATGATCTTTAATTGGAAATAGCACAGCTAAGAGAAGCTCAACAAAATGCTTGTAAAAATAAGAGATCATGAAAAGAAATATGAGGAAATGTTGGATCATATTAAAGAATATTTCGTTTTGCATAATTCTTATAAATTTATTTATACTTATAATGTATTTTTTAATCATAATATTTGCATGTAACTTTGTTTAATAAATTGAACACTTAAAATTATCCATTATTTGATATATAATAAGAATTTTAGTAAAAATTCAAAATAAATTACCATATTTGCAAATGGAGATTATATAATAACTTGAAAAGACAACATGGAGTAAATGTATTAACTAATATGGAGGCTAAATCAAATACTAATTGTGTACAAGTTAATTTTAAATTCATTGACTGGTTGCGAGATTAAATTAACAATTCATACATTCCTCTTTTTCTTGTCCTTTTTTCAAAATATACTTTGGCCACCACGTGCCTTTTTAAAAAAATAGATAAATAAATTTTCTATCGCTTAGCAACTTTTCTTTTATTTCAAAGGGCCGCCACATATTTTATACGTGGTGGGCTCTTTTTAACCGAGTATTTTTTATTACTAATATTCTAAGAAATTCCCCTACTATTGCTGTTCCCATCTTCCTAATTCTCCCAGGATTCTTGGCTTTTCTAATAAATATTGACCCATGTATATTTTTAATTGGTTGCTTAAACAGGTAAGTAGCTGGGAGTATAATATGCCGTAGAGCTTGGAAGAAACTCTAGATAAATAGTTGGAGTCCAACATGCTACGACAACTAATTTATGGACAATTAGTGAATTGTGATTAGGGATGCTATCAAGCCGAGTCGAGCTCAAGTATCCCCAAACTCGAGCTTGAACTCGGCTCATGTATATACTCGAGCTCGAGCGAGTAGCTGGGGAGAGAGCTCGAGCTCAACTCGGTGATACTCTTTTGGAGCTTGAGCTCAAATCTATAAGGCTGAAGTTTTGCCAAGCCTTATTGAGCTTGAGTACTCGAGCTCGAAAAACAGTTCCTGCAAGCTCAATCTGATTCCTGCTACTTCAGTTTTCAGTTTCCAATTTCCAGAATCCAGCTTCCAGTTTCAGCAATGAATCAGTTCAAAGTTCAAATGCAATCCAATGCAACAGCCTCAATTTATGCATCAACTAGTTCAACACTTGGAATTACCATTCATAATCATGCTCATATCGAAAAATAGCCCCAAGCAAATGATTGTTAATCAGTCCAGCAGTTCAGCATCATACAATATAGAACAAATATACAATAAAAAGCCATGATCCAGAAACAAATGCATCCACACCAAGCCGCCATGGTCCAAAATCCAGATTCCAAAAAGAAGTAAACGACAACATAACAAATAAGTAAAAACACATGCATCCAGATTCAAATCCAAAAACTCAAAAGCCATGATCCAGGATTCCACATTCCAGAAACATCAATATACACAAATAAACCTGTTCTCAAGTGTCAACTTAATCATCAATTCATCAATGGTCAACAAAGAAGAAGAAACATCAGTTCAGTAGGTGTTCTTTTCAACTTATGAACAAATCCTTTGGCATTATAAGTTTATAACACAACCTAAAGCCAAAATAAGAACAATAAAATAAAATTTCACAAAGAAGATTAAAGTGGACCTGATTCTATGTCGTTTCGAAGTTCATACTTTTGGCAGCTCATATTCTTTGACAGTTGTTGTTTCCTGCATTAATGAAAAGAAAGTGCAAACTTCTGTTAGTTCACTACAAAATAAAGATACAAACTAGTAACTACTAATTTATGGAGAAATAATACAAGTATAAAGGAGCAACTCACTTTCACTTTCTTTTTGACTCCGTGTAAATTTCTACACCAGTCACCCGCACACATTAACATCTGAACTATCTCAAGATCAAGTGAAGCTCAGTAGGAATCAATCACCCTAGTCCCAGAATTGAAGGTGGCCTCAAATGCTACAGTAGTGATAGGAATGACCAATATATCAGAGGCCATCTGAGATAATGCCAAGTATGCAATCCGGTTGACCCTCCACCAATCCAAGCAGTCGAAATCCATTGGATTTCCACCAAGTGGCTGCCGAGGCTTATCCAGATAATCTAGCAATTCGGAGGCTTATCCAGATATTGGTCTCAATATCGACACAATACTCATCTAAATCATCCCAATAAGAATCTCCCCATGGCCAAAGTGGACCCTGGCTAGAAGATGAAGCAACTGATCCACTACTTGCTGTAGCACTTGCAATGGCAGCCATTTCACGATACTCTTCAAAAAGGTCAAAGATGGCTTTCTGGACTTTCTTAATTTTCTCTTGTGCTTCATAAGCCGGGTACATCTTGGGGAAGGCAAACTCCATTGATCACATTCTCTGCATGGGATCCAAGATAGCAGCAATGGACATCAACAGATTGCATTCAATCAAGTATTTATCAAACTTGAGCTTCATTCTTGCAATCATTCCCCGGATGAAATCTTCATCATTTATTCATGCATCCAACAATTTCTTCGCCTTCAGAAATTCCGCCAAGAACAAGTTGCTGGTTGGATATTCACTCCCTGAAATTATGTGTGTGGCTGTCCAAAACTTCTCCAAAATGCAGCACACCTTTTCAACTTTCTCCCAATCTTCAGAAGATGGACACAACTCATAGAGGGGACTGGCAATTGGCCTCCACCCAATAGCTTCTTTGTTCTACCAAAGTCATCATTCAGAAGGCGAATGGGCACATCATTATTTGAGGCATTGTCCACTAAAATTGTGTGAATCTTTTGCCCAATACCCCACTCATTTGCACACTTGAAGACTGCAGCCGAGATCTCAACTCCATGTCTAGGTGGTGGGATGTGAACCAAATCTAATACCCGCTTCTGAAGTTTCTAATGGGCATCAATCCAATGGCCCGTCACAACTATGTATTCAATCTTCTGGTTTTTTTATTTCCACATATCAGTTGTCAGGCTTGCTTTCTGCACATGTTCTTCAATTTCTTCTTTTCCAGTTCATACACTTGTGTATGATCATTTTAGCTGTCCCCCGAGAGATCTTTTAGCACTCCGGAAAGCCATGTTTCATCATGAGGTTGAATACCTCTTCCTCCAAGATTGTGAAGGGATGCTCGTGCATCAAGATCCAGTGTGCAGCAGCCTCCCTCATTGTTTTCTATATCAAAGTTGCCCGTGTGCAATGCTGGTACAGTTGGAAAATGGTCATCCGCCCACTGAAAGTTGAGTTTTGTTTGCTGCTCGGCCTTTCTAATCTTGGTTTTTCTAACCAGACAATTATCTCGATGCCTCACATACTGCTGGTTTGCTTAGTTTTACCCCAAGATAGCTTTTTCCCACAATGTTTACAAATGGCAAAATGCTAGCCATTTTTATCAAATGCATCGAAGTCTTCTCATGCCTCCGAGGTTTTATTCTTTTTAGGCACCTGAAATTGACCACCACCTTCATTTTCCTCTCCTTGTTGAATAGTCGTGTCCCTGGTTGGCACTTGTTCTGTTCCCTCAGTCACAGGACCACCGCCACTTTCTAGAGGGCAAGCATCATTTCCTGTGTTGTCACAGCTCACAAATATTGGGCTGCCCGACAATAGTGGAGTGGATGAATCACTGGCAAACACACATGGCATGGAAGAAACCTCAGGTTGACTAGTAGACATGCCTTTAATTAAAAAAAAAATTCAGGTTATGGACGACTGATCATTTGTTAACAATCAGTCTTTAGAAAATGGTAAGATACAACAAGCCAAGAATGACTAAAAAGAAAGCCACGTCAGGAGACAATTAGACAAGTATGCTTTGGTGATCTATACCCACAATAATCATTTCCAAGCTAAACCAGATTTCTTAGGTCTCAAAGTGACCAGTAAGGATGTAAAGTGACAGGCTAAACCAGATTTCCATACTTTGAACAACCTCTATAAAGATCTTAGTTCTCAAAGTGACCAGTAAGGATGTAAAGTGACAAGTTAAACCAGCTTTCCAAGCCAGATATGCTTGATTTCATTAAAAGGTTAATTTTGCAGGGAAAAAAAGCTAACATATCCAAATCTGCCAGGTAATGCATATCTGATTGTGGAATTGCATGAGCGGTAGTACAGTACACAACAAAAAAAGATCAGAATTTATTCTATTTGCTTCCCACAATAGTGAAATAACTGCTTTACAATAAGATAAATTTAGTGACATGGAAATCTAATCCATTTTAGGCTACAAAAGATTAGACAAATCTAATCCATTAAACACATCATCCGTGACATGGAAAGCATATTCAGGTAGGATCCTACCATGCTACCCAGTTTTTGTCAACTTGGGTTGTTGGCAGGAACTATCCATCCAAGAAATTAAGCTACATCTGGGACAACACAATCAAGCCCAGCAACTACTAGGACAGAAAAATCATGCCCAACTTTACATAGAATTCAATTCGCAAAGAAATCAAACAAAAGTGATTGCAAACTTAATTACCAGGATACGATGATATCTTCCAAAGGCTCCATTTTGATACAAAATTAAGCCCCAAATTCAATGACTAAAAAACCATAAGAGGTTTTAGAGTCTAGATTAAAGATATGCAACCATAGAAACAATCAAAACTTACCAAAAGACAAGTAAAACAGTGCAGATCCAAAAAAAAAACAAAATCTACAAGCAAAAATCTTAATGCACTGTCATTATGAACTTCAACCAATTCCAGCAAATAACCTCCTGATAAGGTAATTAATCCTGTTCCCTTTTAAAGTCAAGAACTTAAATTAGAGGGCAAAACTCAAGATTACCAATTCAGTATTATAGGTAACAAAGCACAATCTGAAGCACAACATCACTTCTAGCTACTGGTGTTATCTGGAAATGAAAAATAGCAGAGCTTATGGCTTACCTACTTTTCCCACTGCTGCGCCGACAACCGAGTCATTTGTAGTAGGAATTGACGAATTCCACAGTCCAACTCCAGCTGCCGAAGATTGAGGAAGGTGCTCCCACAGTCCTCCTCTTCAAGAATAGAGCCTGTTCAATTGGAGCCCCAAATTGAGGTTATGGTTCCGGGATTCACAATTACAACCAACTTAAAAAGGAAAATTAAACAAATAATGCATGAAGCCAAGAAGATTATGTATTACATAATACATACCTCAATTTGCCCAGAAGATTAATTGCAATATGAAGGTTAGCAGCGATCCTCCAACTTCGAATCCTAGCTGCTTAATTTCACTTCGCGACCCTATTAACACTAATACAGTATGCTATGATGCTCCAGCAGGTTCACGAAGAAGTTGATTACTGAAGGCTTAAGCAAAATGGACTTGGTGTTGGTACTTGAGCAGTTGAGCTGCGGCCTTCGAACTCCGAACGAACGAGGAAGAGAAGAAATTAGAAATGGAGAACTGGAAATGAAGCGAAGCTCATTTGATTTGTTTAAGTTTAATCAAGGTCTTGCGAAATTACTTATTCACGCTTCAATAATTTTATAAGTATACATTTTAAGATTGTAAATGTTGTAACTCGTAAGCCTAATACAGTAATTTAATAATTATAATATATTAATTAAATAAATTGGCTCTCAAGCTCAAACTGTTAGTCAAGTTTCAATCTAGAATGCTCAGAGTTTAACTTGTCAGTTCAGTCTCAAGTCAAGCTGCTTGATTCACCTCCAACTTTAACTATAACAGAGTAGCAGCATTTTTTTGATAGATTCCTTCTTTGTATGGTATATCTAACTATAACCATGGCAAATTTGTATGATGGCATATGAGCATTGGTATATATTCAGCCACTAGCGAGCAGTAGAAGAAGCAACATTCTCAACCAAAGAAAAAGAAAAAGAAAAAAAAAAGGGCAGCAATGACACATCTGATTATTGGTATATATTTAGCCACTAGCAAGCAACAGAAGAAGCAACATTCACAACCAAAGAAAAAGAAATAAAAAGCCGCAATCAGCAGAAGAATTTTAATGTCAGCCGTATTAAAGATAAGTATTGGCAGGAGAAGGTACGGTGGTGCATCACTTTTGCTCCCAATTAACATGGTAGCTTTACTGTACTGAGGACTTAGGTGTCTTTTCTCTTGAAGCTAGTTTACTTGATTGCTTTACTATATTGACGACTTATCAGCTTTCTATATGAGATGACAACTAGGTACAAAAGCAAGTTGGTACTCCTAGCAACGAAAGCTTTGTATTATGATCCTAGGTTAAAATTTAAAACCTGTGTAAGGCGTAGGGTGCTCCACTTCTGGTTTATTTTTGGAATTAATCTTATATATATTAATAATGTATATAGTATTGCTATTAGATATTTGACAATTAATCTAAATTTAAATTGAAATTGAAATTTTATATAATTGTCAATCATCCAATTATGATAACGTAGACATATTCAGTATTTTATAGTAATATTTAGTTAAACGATACAATTATCCTTGTAGTGCATGAAAATTACTATAATGTGAGGTTGTATAAGGTTAAGAGAAGGGGAAGTACAAGATGATGTATACTTTGTAAGTAGGAATATGACGTACTGCACTTATCATTTCGATAAAAAAAAAATTATGACGTACTACGATGAAACCAAAAAAAGTTAGTGTTACGTAGAAATAAAGTAAGGCTAGGAATGGGTTACTAGGATGGCTGAAGAACAATTAGCTTTCACAACCTTGGGCTCATCAGTCATCACGCGACGGTTGATGTATGGGGTGAAGTGGACCACATTTCTCCCAGATATAAAGGCTCTGGGTATCCACATGAACATTTATCAAAGTTGTTCAAACGAGGGAGATACTGTGAACTAGTCAAATGCTCTAAATTGGGTAAGTTGCAACACTTAAAAATTAAAATTAATGAAAGATAAGCTACATTTAGCCCCATGTTTCTGGATCGTCCACCAACCAGGAAAAACACTGGAGTCAATATAGCAATTATATATTCTTCAAAGGGTCAAAATCAGCTTGACATTTGAAAAGTGAATTCACATAATTTTACAAGATATCTGACATCTAAACGGGTGCAATACCGGAGTCAAGAGCCGAATCACAAGACATATAATCTTCATTGCCAATATCAACTATACAAGTCAAGAGCTGAATCACAAGGCATATAATCTCCATTGTCAATATCAACTACACGAGATGATATATAGTTTAAAATGGTTACTACATTTTAACTCAGGACATTAGTTTAGTTGCATTTAACATGTCAATATATTTTAAAAACTATTTAGTTTGAAATATTGTGATTAAATGGAAAATTTTTCTTATAAAAATTAACTTAACAAATAATTCAAGTGAACATTAATTATTTCATATATGTATATACAAACATACACACATACAGACACACGCACACCAAATTAAGAACCTGTATATTGTTAGAATGTCAAAACTTTAAATGAAGAAATAAATGTTGTTAGAAGAGGAGATTGATTTTGATTGGTTAGCTTGAATGCTTAATGGGTAGACCTAATTAACCAATAGACCCTTGAGTTCACTTCAAGGAATGTGTCAGTCCATTATTAGCAAGAATATATATCGTGGCAGAATAGATACCTTTATGCAAGAGGCAAGTTGGTTCTAATTAAAGGATGTTGTTGCGGTTTGTTTATTAGTCAAAGAAGAGGTGTGGAAAGGTGGGGCTGAGTGATTGTAGCCATAAACGGTAGGGAGAGTATGTTCGATGGGCACGTATAAAGGGTTCTTGTGACCTGCAACCTGCGTTGAAGGGGATTGTAACCGTAAATGTGAAATGTGGAGTGCCTAAATTAGGCAACTTGCAAAGTGAGAGGTTCGCACGCGAAAGTAAGATGCGGAGTGCCTAAATTAAGCAACGTGCAAAGTGAGAGGGTCGTACGCGAAAGTAAGGGTAGGCAAAAGGGGGCGAAGCTTGGCGGAGAAGCTAAACAGTGCAGGCATATTAGTAAAGGAAGAAGCGCGAAACCGGACCAAGAAGAATAGCAAAAGATAGGGATTTCTTATGGAGGGGGCGGCCGAAATAGATGCTTCGGATACGCAGTGGGATAGTGAAGCAGTAAGCGAAAATCTAGCATCGCCGATGCATAAAAGTGGAATACCATCGAATTGTAAAAGTTGCAGCACTGAAAGGAAGCCGCTTCGGCGGACAGCGGAAACAATGGTAAGCCACTCAACTCATCCCGTAAAGAATATGATGGATTGCCTCTTGGATAAGCAACGGCAGGCTATCAGAAAGTTTGGGTTCGCGTCAATTCTGAATGTGAAGGGAGTAAAGGTTGACAAAGAGATGTTGAACTGGATGGTGGATAACTTTGACGTAGATGGGAGGACATTGAACGTTCATGGGTACTGTCTACACGTGACGGCCGAGGATGTGGAATGTGTACTTGGCTTGAGCAGCCGTGGGAAAGATATTGAAAGCGAAAAGCGAAGGCAAGAGATGGATACAGAGTTGGAAAGAGAATTGAATATCAGAATAAATAGCGAAAAATTGTAGTGGAGGAATTGAGGGACAGTCTATGTAGTTTGCATAACGAAGTCTTAGAATTCAAAGTGAAGTTCGTACTATTTGTTGTTGGTAGGGTGTTAGCACCAACTTTGGATGATACAGTGAGCAGGGATCTCGTGGCTGTAGTGGGTAAAGAAGAGAATATGGAAAATTTGAACTGGTCGAAATTCATATTAGACAATTTGGTGAAGAGCATCCGTGAAAGAGACGGCAACGGAATAGCGGGATGTGCACTTTTCTTGATGGTATATGAAGACGCACCATTTTGCATTAGAGACAGGAATTGCTGGAATAATTAAATTTTACTTTGACGTAAAGGACCTGTAAATGATGATTGGAGTTTTTGTCCGTGTAGATTTACTATCTGGAACGATTCTATATCAAAGGTGAGGACAAGTTTCGCAAGTTCCAGCCGAGAGGGCCGAGGCTAAGATTTTGGGGAAGGTACGAGATTAATGAAAACATGCGAATATTGAGGAGGAATCGCATATTTGAGGGGGAACAGGTAATGTAAAATGCTGTCGTGTGAATTGTTGTTGAAATTGCAATTGCATTCTGTGACGTTAGTAGTAGGACAAAACTGAAGGGTTGTATTGACAGGGCAATGTGCAGTTTTACAATAACGTAACCTGTAGAGAAGATATTGATAGAAGACTGATTGAAATTGAACGTGGTAATAAAGATTTGAAGGACAGTATTGGTAGAATGGAAGCAATGATTGGAAGTCATTTTGAAACACCAAGGAGCATGTATGAAAGTGGAAGGGTGTGCAAAACAAACCGGCCACTTGCTGTGGACGGTGGGCAGAAGGACGATTGGCGCGGTAATACTAGAAGAGGCAGTGAAGTACATAAATTTAGTCCTAGAACGCCAGATGTGAGGTCCAAAAGTAGGAGTGAAAATGACAGAGTAACTAGGGGTGAAAAGACTGCAGCGAAAATTACAAAGCGGAGAAGTAGAAAGAGACTAAGGATGGACAATACGGAGAAGTCTGTGTGGGAAGACAAACAAAACAGAAGGCAAGGTAAAAGAACAAAGATATGCGAGTAATTGACAAGGTATTTGGTAGCATTAAAAAAGTAAAGTATAAATTGTAGTTTTATGTACAGATTGATAGTAATGGGATAAAGGAGTGTCAAACGAATATGGTTGCTTTATTGGCAAATGTGAGTATTCCAACGTTCCATAATTACTAAAGGAAACAACTGTAGACAAGGAAAGATGACATATTTTTCTGGTAGCACGAAACTAGGCTGGCATCTGTCGGTGGAAAAGTGAGTGAGGGACGCGCAAAAATACTGAAGTTCTTGTTTGACACTCAGCTCTTTCAAGGGTATGTACTGGCTCATGGATTTGGTAAATCATCAGTTGTATTTAGTTTTATCCTTTATTTGAAATTGCAATGACATAGGGGACGCAAAAGTAGTTAGAAGTTTGATTAAATCGGTACTATGATTATCCCCACAGAGGACGGGGCATGTGAACAAAAATTTTATGAAGCAGTTAAATTTGGATTACAAGTAAACGTCAAATTTACAATTTGTGTGCTATCAATCATGCCTGGTTATATAAATAGCAGGTGTAGGTAAAATGCTTGCATATAGAATATAAGGTGAGTATTTAATACATTGAGCGTGGAAGTAGAATGATAATAAACTATAGCAGTACTTAACTGACCTATGTTTTTGTCACACGACCCTTTATGGTCATTGAGTTAGCCCTAAGGAAGTTCAACGTAATTGATGGTTGTATTAATGAGGAAGAGTAAACCTACTCCAACGTGTTAACTCGAGTCATCGAAAATGATGATATCAAGTTTGTAGATTATGAAAACGTAATACGCATAGCGAAAAGTTGAATGTAACTTTATAATAAGAGGGAAGTATTGGTGTCAATTAAGGGGCAGACAGCAACTCGAGATGC